TACTAGACCTTGATCAAACCATTAATATCATTTGATCATCATAATTGACATTTTTTTCATGTTTTTTTCATGTAGGACATTACATAGATTTTAATCCCATCCATCACCTATTGTTCTTGGGATTTCATAATCAACACCACCTGACCAGGGCGAAAGGGCCTTGACTAAGATTGGGTTAAAGACTTGAAGATCGAAAGAAAGTCAATCACTAAATGCCTATAAAGCAACAGATCCACGTTTAATCAAATCATACCAATCAATCAAATCAAAAATCAACTCTCGATCATTACCTAAGATTGGAATAGTTTATGGATCCGGATTAAATAACTTATCATTCAACTCAACTAATCTGATCGCATCGAAATATGAAGAAATTGATTGATGGCCACAAGTGATGACACATTCAATTGTTAAAGGTCATGAATCTAAAGGTTTAAGTTTTGGTAAATTGGGTGATGTTCATGTGGTTTGTCAGACTGGAAGGTATGAAAAAATTCAACATTACAATTCAATTTGACTTCTTCCAACTTCAACTTTAACTAATGATTGATGGTTTTTTGGGGGTCCTTTGATAGGTAGCTATTATCATTCCACCTGAAACAAGATGAAACGGGAAATTTATAAGAAGCCTTGATATGATAAGCTTCAGTTGTTTCCTCTATATGACTTTTGTAGATATATTTCAGTCAACCACATCTCCTTGAAGCACAGGGGAAAGGAGCGGCTGTGGAATATCAAGCACATCACAGTGAAAGCTGGAATATAGTATCAGGTAATCAATGTTTCAGTTCAACTGCGGTTTGGGTTCTGGAATCAAGCAAACATATTGATTTAAAGGGTTTTTATTTTGATCTCGATTGGCTTAAACTACACTTCAATCAGCTCCTATATTATTTCAGATACCAAACGTGCTCGAGAGGAAATGTGTGAATTGGGTACAAAAGAAGAACATTACTTGAATACAGTAGCTCGGCTTGGTCTTCGACTAGGAGGATGTATGATGATGGTGAGAATGGTCCGTTAGAGTCAGAATCGGGGTCAGAAAATTTCAGAGCGTTAGAAGGATGGAGGATTCCATTTGATCGGATTGTTTGTGGATGCTACATCATTGGTTTTATTTGATCTCAAGCTCACCTAAATTGGTCCTCCAGTCCGGAAAAGTTCATATCACTATCAGTAGTAATATCTTTCTTCTTGGTCATCCCACAAAATATATGATGCTCATGCTGGTCACTTATCAAGACAGAGACTTTGGTTAAAGATTGCAAAATATGTAGTACATTATAAACAAGATATGTAAACAGCCACATATGGATTTCTTATGATTAACCAATTTGTTACAAACTGAAGATATTTGACCATCCTTTGCAGATTTTGTAGTGATTGACGACTTTGAAAAAGATGGTTGTGATGCACTTGATTACCCTGCTCTGAAGAACGCGCCAGTAAATTGGGTCAGCCAGTGAAGAGGTCTTCACAAAATATGGATTGGTGAGGTACTGCAGGACGCTTTTGAGAATTCCAGGTGACATCATTGAAAATCATCTTACACTTTTTTCCAAGAGCTTTATCACAAAATGATGCATATGTCAGTGATAACAGCATTTATCACTATGGATAAACATTACTCACAATCCTCTGAGTAGCACCAACGTAAGGGTGACAGCAGGGTTGATCTGCGGCAGTTGCGCTCATCAGAGAGTGGTCTAATGCAGGGGATAGAGGACTTGGCGTGTCGGCCATCTTCAATCAAAAAAGGAATTCAGTACTAATGTGACCTCCACTGTTTGATCAAAGAAGTTACTCAAGCTATTTCACTACACCGATTAAGAAGGATGTTTACTTGGCTGACCAAAGTAATTTGGTCAAATTGTCAAGATCAAAGCCAAAAGCCATGATGAATTTAAAGTATTTGACTTATCATCATATGATGAAAGATTAGCAATAGCAAGTTCACAAGTATTTGATTGAGTTCACAAAGAATTGTACAAAAATTCAATCAAGTTTACAGAGAATCATTAAAGATTGATCTCAAGACTTGAGCTGAAGCTACTGATCACAATCAAAGCTTCAATTTGATCTGCAGGTCACTGTTACTCAATTAACTTTCTGGGAGCAATGCAGTTGGACTGTCATCTATCACCTCTCATTGGATTAGATCAGGATATCTGAGCATGGAAGCAAACACTGAAATGGCTTCACATTACATATTTCTCAATCACAGGTATATTTTTCATTCTGAAACTACAAATCCAAGCATAGCAAGCCAACACCATTCATATAAATGAGAAGTGAATGTAGATGAGGTGTCCATTGAACTTTGAGCTGACTCACAGCATGCAAACCCATTCAAGTTCCAGAGCACATCCTGTAATTCAAAGTGAGTAATCAGAAATTGAAGCTGTGTATTATTCAGCTTTGCCTTCATGAGTATATCAAGAAGACAAAAAGGAAAGGATTTGATAATGGGGATTCTCAGAAGGCTTGACTGAAACCTAAAGCAGAGATGATGTAACAGTAGACCATATCAGGGAAACAGGTTTAGGGGTTGGATCACCAACATATGATGTTTGAGTTCCTTGGTACCCAACACTTATGAGGATGCTGCAAGGCCTTTCAATTCTACTGTATCTATCCAAAGTTGATCACAACAAAAGTAGATTCACTTTCTTCTTGTGTAACTTCTTCTTCTATTTCTGAGAGAAAATATAAAGCTTCATATTGAAGCCTTATTCATTGTAGGACATAAGTCCTGAATCATTGATAAAATGCATGTAGCTTAGTACTGTAAGTCATACCAGGGTACATAATCTCAGCCAGGAATGTCTCTCACATGGGTCATATGTATGTCATTCTTGGTATTCTGTTGAAAGTTGTGTTGGGTGTGTATATCTATCCATACTCCACAATTGTTGATAGGTGTGGTGGTACATATTGGTCAGTAAGGTTTTGTGGCTTCCATAGTCACTTATTGATACTGACATCTATCAAGCTAGACATTCCAGCAGCTAAATGAACTCAAAAATTGAACCAAATCTTTGCTGATTCATTTAAATTGAGTTAAAGCAACCTTTTGAAGAGATATTATAAGATCAAATGGGTCTTGCACCACATAGAAGGAATTGATGCCATCCACATAGTTTGAGATTTTGGAAGCGGCGCCTGCCGCTGATGTGCTAGTAGCTTTTACTTACACATCTTTCCGTATCTTGTATTCCATCAAACCCTTTCGCCACCGGCGCCTCCCGGACATTGTGATCTCACTCAAAGGGATAGTTTTTCGGCCGGTTAACTGGGTGCTTGAAGATTTATGAAGCCATGGTAGAATTTTTGTAAAGAAACTCCAAAGCTTGTTTTTCATTTCCGTTTTGAATTTTCGAATCTCCATTAGGTGCTTTCAAACTAGGAAAAAGTCGAAATGTTCACAAGAAAAAATGTGAACTGTGTAATTATTTTTCAACTGTGTAATTACAATACATCTGATATAGCGCTGTAGTGCAATCACAAAGTTCAACTTTGTATTTGGAGGGGGCCTCCCTCCTCCTTCCTCGTACACCAGGGGGTAAACTTACGGCAAGAAAACGGTTTTCGAAGCCGTTTTCCTGCCGTCACGGATTTGAACTATTCGTGTCGTTTCTGAGACGATTTCAGATGGGACCGTACGAACGCGGTTCCCATCACCGTTTTTGGCGGTGCGAGCAAACCACCTCGGTGACCCCTAAACACGGTCCCTGGAACGTTCCGAGGGTACGTCGTAGATTTGCCAAAAGAAAATCAGGCAGTGGGACTTGAACACAGGCTCAAAAACGAGAAGAGGCTTGGTCTTGGCCACAGAGCATTTCACCGCTACACCATACAGACCACATTGTGAGTCCACCTTGTGTCATATCAGTATGCTTTCGAATCATCAATCGAGTCATTCCTCAATAACAAGGCTTATCAGCTATCGTTGGCACAACCGGTAACGATGCTTGCCATGTGATTCTCCGAGGCTCAACCGATGGACACGTGTATTTGGCTCAGCATGTAGAGTCATGTAGCGCACAACTTTCAAAAGCTGGCCTACGACCATCAGTGATGATCGATTGCTCGCATGGTAACTCACAAAAACAAATTGCAAGTTAAGTCGTCGTTGCTGAAGGTAGTTCGACACCGATTGCAATCGGTATCAAAAAAACTGCTTCACCACCGCCTCAGGAGCCGTTCTCAAACGGTTGCTGACATGCAGCTCGTTCCAGAAGCGGTGGTGGAACGGTGTCCGAATTGGTTTCGGCGAAACCGGTTCCACACCTTCCTGGGCGGTTCAGGTGACGAAACCTTTGAAATCGTCAGAGGAACCGGCCAAGGCCGAGGACCATTACCCCCTGGTGTAGGGCTTCACAATTTTGAAGGAGCAAAAAAGCATGTAATGAAAAACTATGATTGCACTACAGTCTTGTATCAGATGTATTGTAATTACACAGTTGACGATTTTTCTCGTGAACATTTCGACTTTTTCCTAGTTTGAAAGCACCTACACCACGAACCCACCGACCCGGGTCCTGAACCAGGAGTGAGCCCCGGTCAAGAACCGATCTCGCCTGCTTGTGCAAAAACGTATACAGAACGCGCCCTGCTGAACCTAGGTCAAACTGATCTCTCAGGCTCAGTTCTTCACTGGTTCCAGGGCGGTATGACATCAGGGGTGGTCCCAATTTGTTTCCCGCATTGCAGGCTCGCTGGTTCTTTCTCTCCCACAATTTTGCTTGCGAACCCACAGTGCAATGCTGATGCTGAACTAATGCTTGTTTGATTGACCAAAAATTTAAATAATAACAAAAAATATACAATAGAAAATTGATTGGCAAAACATAGATAAAATTAAAGTGAGGAGAGACTGGAGGAAAATGCTACAGGAGAGATAATACAAAAGAGTACAAAATACACTTGCAAAGTACTAAAAATTCTATCTTATACATCCTCATACTTCACTTCAAGGATGTCACACTTAGTAGATAATGCTATCCCGCAGGTTCGTTATGGGCGAGCTCTGCTGGCACCACTCTGGCCCCATGAGTCTCTTCCAGGTGCTTGATTTGGGCCTCAACCTCATTTTCGGTGGGCAACTCAAATTTGGTGGTTTTCTGGATTTCAGCAAAAGTTACTTCGCCATCAAATCGGTCAAAGTCTTGGCGTAAAACTTCAAGAAAGAAGCTGTTGAAGAATCACAATCAAAATGAGTAAGATAGATGCTTGAGCCATTCACAAACATCAAAACTTACGCATAACGATACCGGACAGACTTGCTACGCAATTCTTCCAATTTTTCGTCCACAACCCCCCAGAAGGATCTGTTGCTATAGCTTTGCGTGTTCCATCCCCAGTGTATAGCTTGCATTCGCTGTTGGAATTATGATTTGATAAATTAGTGCTCATTTTGTTTCATTCGAAGTGAGGTTTGAGAAAACTTACAAGCCATGCAAATCGAGATCTTTGAAGATGATTTACCCCTTCCAGAATTTCTTCACGGACGCGCACCTTACCTCCAATGAAATCATGCTCTCTTTCGTAAATCTAAGATATTCAAAATCAATCTTGTGAGTTTAAATAAATAAGCGACAAACCAAAATAGAACACGTGCCTTGACAATCAATGTCTCAATGGTTGGCACGTTCAACTTGGATGGTGTCTTCTTAACTCAAATCGGGAGGTGAATATTAGTGAGGAGCTGGAAATGTGAGATAATGGAACCTAAGGTCAATTCAATGATATTGAATTGACAATTAATATCACTTACAATCTTATTCAAGTCCTTTCTGATCTCTTTCAAGATGATGTTGAGCCACTTTTGAAAGTCTCTTGATTCCACGGGATCTGGATTTCTTCCATATCGTGCTGGAAGCAATCGCTTTCTCCATTCAGATGGATTGTCGAGGATTTTGTCCTGCAAACCACATAAGATCAGTAGTACGACAACATGAGGGAAGGAGAAGAGTGATTCAATAATAAGGGCGTACCAATAATTTTGCAGCTAAAGAGCGAGGAAGATGCTCTTGATTACCTTCCTTGTCCGCGGTTGCTGTGTACGCTTGCACATCACCCATGATTATGCACTGAGTGGCTATCATACGTGCGGTTTGCTTAGACTCATCAAAACATCAGCTTTGGCTTGGATTGAATGATAAGTTATATAACTTACCCTCAGCTCGTGGGACGCGGTCCATCCTGGACTCGGGGTTGTTAAACATGATAAACTCTCCAACAACTGGGTGATCTTACCGTTTGTCTCTTGATGATAATCACTGATTTCTTGTCGTGTCGAGAGCAGGGCAACAGTCATCGATACAAAATGATCTGCTCTTCCATCCACCTGAAGCAAAACAAAAAGTTTAGTCATGAGCCATATTGATTGTTGTGGTTACTTACATTGCAGAGGACACGTCCCATGACCTTATACTCTTCATTCAGTCCAGCTGTAGCTGCTAGTTCGTTGAAAAATCGTAGGCGTTCACCACTGAGATGGGCAGTCAAAGCTGATACTGATCCGGCAGCAGCAGCAGCAGCAGCGGAAGTGTGGTTGATGAGTGGTTTAGGAGGGAGACCGAGTTCACTTTCAGTCGCAGAGCGGTTGTTGTTGGACTCTTCATCGTTGTTATCTTCAGATTCTTCGTTTTCTTTGTTTTCGTCATTGTCAGGATCATCATTCTCATGGAAGTTGGCATTATAGTCTTCGTCATCATCATCATCATCTACATTTCATTCCAAATTGATCAATAACAGGTGGAATCACAGACAGAAACAGAAAAGCAGAATTGATAATAACTTACCATTACCTCCATTACCTTGATCTCCTCCGTTGAGATCATCAAGATCTTCTTCCATGAACAAAGGACCAGCTCGATTTGATTCTGGTGAATGGGTAGCTGGAGGCGACACGGCGTTCGAGGCATTCAAACGGGTGTTGGAACCCTCCTTTGAATTTGAGGAATTCAAACGGTTGTTGGAGCCCTTTGCTCCCTTACCTTTGCCTGCGACGTTGTGATCTTGAACAGCTGAAGGTCCATGTTTGGTCTGTCGCCCAACTGGAGCCGGTTTGCCAGTGACTCGGGGGGTTGTGCGACCGCGTGAGCTTCGTAGACCAGCATTTGAAGAACGTCGGGAGGAACCTGGAGTTGCTTGTTTTTGAGTTGGACTGGGACGTTGTGGACTTGTGCGTCGTGGAAGGGCATAAGGATTCGTTTGTGTTTTTGGAGGCATGTTGTGTTGTGTTGTGTTGTGTGAATGTGAAGAAGATTGAGTCGAGATGAGTTGAGATTGAAAAGGGGATGAGGTCATTTTGATCGAAACATCAAAAAGGTGTTAATTGACACCTTTCAATCACTGTGACAGATTCAATCTGTGAAACCTGATATCCAAGATGCAAAAAAAGACAAGTTCGAAATTTCTTGCTCTGATGAAGCTCTTCAAACACAACTTGGTGGATGGGTCATTCACCAGTGGGGTCTTTGTTTAAGAGATGTCTTGGGAGTTTCTTTCTTTCAGATCCCGTAAAAGTTTTGGAGTCTTTCAAAAATATGTTGTAACAAAAAAAATAAAAGAAAGATTCGAAGCAAAAGAATAACAACAAAAGTACAAAGAAGAGAACAAACTTGATTTGAAAAGGTAAGATGAAGAAATTATTAACAAATGAAATGAAAGAAAGAAGGAAAACAAAAAGAAGAAAAAGTACAAATAATTACAATTCAGAAGAAAAAAGGCCAGTTGATGGGCCAGCCACCGGCTCAGAGATCATTTCCGTGTTGGTTGCTCTCTCTTTGCCTTTTACTTTTCTCTTTTTGACTTTAGGCTTGGTCTCATTTGCCTTTTTCTGTTGTTTTTCTTGTTTATCTCGCTTGTCTTTCATGGTTGTTTCCCAGTTTGACATTCCTTTCTTAATCCCAGAGCGCCAGTCTTCAGGGAGTACTTTTCGAAACGAAATGCAAGCCCACTTTCGATGGAGTTCTGCTGAATAAAACGAACCAGAATTAAGGATAAATGAATCTGATTTGTTATGCACCACTAGGTGATCACAATTCTTTGACACACGCCTCTCAATCATGATAGGTCGCTCTTTTTTCACTGTACATTTGTTTTTATAGCAGTTGTGTTGCACATTAAGCACACCTTTGATGTCCTAAAAAATTGTGTCAGTCAGATGATTACGAATACACCGGAACAAGTACATTTATGCTTACTCTCGGATTGATCCAACAACGCTGTCGAGTCACTTCAATCTCCCGCATGTGATAAAAATCACTGACGTCCCCAACTCGGCATTTGAAAACCTCAATCTTGCTTTGTTGGGGATTCTGGGCGCCTACTGCCCAGATGCCTTCTACCTTCCCTATGAATTGAACGTTCGAGGATTGTATATTGACCTTTGGGATGAACACACAATGTGGTCAATAATCGAAATGTAAAGATACAAAAAATTAAATGTTACACACCGATAGAAAGCTATTGTCTTTAAATTGTTGGTTATTTTTCAAAGAAAAAGACTCTAGCACCTTCCAATTCTTTGCTCGGTAAGAGCCATAGATTGCCTCAGGGATACATTCTTCAGGGTTTTCGGGTTGCTTTTTATGAAGTCCTGAATATGAATGTTAAAGACTGAATGTTTCACCAATAAGAAAACAATCCATACTTACTTCCAATTTTGAAATAGTTTTCTTGATTCCAAGAATGATTGTAGCCTAACGTCTTTTGAAATAACACATTCTCTTTGAATATATCGCAGACTTTTGGACTTGCTGCAATATATGATTTCAGTAATTTATCATACAGAAGGGATCCAGAGGTGAGCGCTCGGATAAGCCTGTGGTTGTTGAAAGAGTTGGCTATATCCCGGCCTGGACTCAAATGATTGGAGTGTATAGACGAATTTCTTGTATTTCCATTATAAGATTCGAAATTCTCCGTTGCGAAGAGGCAGGCTGGGCCAAATCGAAGGATTGATTGAGAGAGGTGAACCATCATATGAAATTTAGGCTTGTTGCACCATTGAGCCGAAAGCTTGACAATTGACAGAAGAAAAATTTTGATTTGCTGTCCAAGTTGCTCGAGGTATGAGTCCATGTCCAAAATTTCCGTCTGGAATATGAATGGGGCAAGATGAGATAGTGCTGTCCACGCTTGCCTTTCGTCCGTTGATAAATCACATTCAAAAAATATGAATGGTGCTGATTGCAAAACTGTACGAAATTCTTTACCCGTGAGGCTTTGGAAATGAGTTATCATGCTTTTTGGCTGGATGGGAGGAATGTTGAGGCCGGAGGTACTAAATGATCTGTACCTTCCCCATATACCTTCCTTCTCTTTCACTGAACAAAGCTTCATTCGGTTGCGAAGAAGGTACTTTGCCACACCTAATAGCACCACATGCAGGATTTCGATGGGTGTATCTGCATGACCATCAAATCCTGTGCGGAATCACCAAAATATCAGACCAAAATATTAGTTTTAACATTAATTCTCAAGTAAAGACTGAAAGAATCTTGAATTCATTTACCTTTCAACCTGAGAAAGGGATTAAATAGATGCTCTCCAAATTCGGTATTAAGTTTGTGGCAGAACTGTGTCACTTCTTCGTTTGAAAAGCGTTGGTCTCCTCGATGCATACGCATCTCTTGAACCTTTTTAATAAAGGGAAGAATGTGCTGGTCCCGAACACCAGCTTTTCCTGACTCACTTTCAAAAGTCCCGATGGTGCCGGGCTTTTGTGCCAACTCCCAAAGGTCTTTTGTGCGCTGCCTTGTTTGAGACCAGCTTCTCTTGGGTAAATCAAGCTGGAAGTGGAAACAGAGAAACAAGACATATATCTTGAAAAACACATTGACTGACTGAAGCTCTCAATATATTCAAGCTCACCTTATTTCCGTTTTCGTCAACTCCAACAAAGTTGCTGACGTACTTAACCGATTTTTTTTCTGCCAAAGAACCAACCCTCAAGTCACAAACTCGGCATGGTGTGAGGGAAACCGTCGGATTCATCGTGTTAGTTACCTCGGCGTGCATAGGAGAATCTCCCAAATGACAGAGAACAAAAGGTACGACCAGAACTTCGCCTTTGAACTGATCGTCATATGCCAAAAATCCATTTGTGGTAAGTTCACTGGAAAAGAAACAAACAAAGCATAGTCTCATTATATTGATCAAATAAAGGACAATAAATCGAGATAATTACTTCAGTGAGTCAATAATTGGATCAGCAAGCTCCAACGCGCCTGCTGTATTTGACGTCGTCAGGAAATGACAATTATATTCCTGATTGGCGAATTTTGACGGTAGTCCAGCCAGAGTTAAATAAAATGCCAGGTGTTTGTTCCACCGCTTGGAGATATTTCCAGATAAATCATTGCAATATAACACCCAGGGTACGTGTCGAATTACCCTGCCGTCCGCCTTTTTCCGCCATTCATTTTGTATTGGAACTTCGTGAAATGTCCCATGGTCATCTTTTTCTATGATGTTTGGTTCAGTCTCAGTCACTATCAAAACAGATGCGCAAGACTCACCATACATCACATCTCCGCAGAGGTCTTTCATCAATCTGCCACTACGGATTTCGATTTTATCCAATCCTCTTGCAAAATGTTTCACATTTATTGAAGATAGATGTGACGAATCGAAGGAGGTAGCCAACGGAAATTCTACACAAATGCGCTGACACCCTTCGGAATCGAGATGAGAAGTTTGATGTGCAAAGACACATTTTGCAAAGACCTGAGTATCAATTTGATAGAAAAAGATGGGAATAACAATTCTTTTTGATTCCAGTTGAACCGGCTCGTATAAGAAGTAATGTCCCTTTGGTGAGTCGATCATCTGCACTCGCAAGTCCTTATCCAGCTCCTCACGCCATTTTTTGGACTGTGTAAAGCGATTTATTTTGGATGTTAACGTTGGTAATTCAGGTATGAATTGAAGATGTTCCATAACATAAGGATTTGCTAGCTCCTGTGATCCACAAGAGTAGCCATGATGAACAATGCGAATCAAAGCTTGAAATCAAAAATATGAAAGATAATTTACTTGACTTAATATCTGCTTGATCTTGAGTCCAAAGCATGGCTTCCCCGAAGCACTGAGAGTCTCAGAGACATCAAAGTCAAATCTTTTCTTCAGCTTTCGGCGCACACGCTGAAGACTTTTGTATGCTGGAAGTTTTACTTTCAGGAGACTAACAAAGGAACGGACTCGTTCATACTGAAGCAGCGACATGATAGTTCTCGATGAACCTAGGATCAGAAGAGCAACAATTTGCTGTTGAAGTGATCAAATCAGATGATGGAATTGGAAAGATTTTTGAAATAATTTGGAAGCTCCCAACCTCCAAGCTCGAGAAAGGTGCCCAGGATGAAGACTTTGCATTCTGAGTATTTGCATACTTTTCTCCTTCCTCAGATTGATCTGAGTTTGTGTGTTCATCCTCCCAGCCGTCATCTGTCAAATCATCTGGTCGATTTGAGTTTTCGCTGCTGTCTGCACTGTGAGCAGAAGCAGGAGATGGAGATGCGAAAAGATTGGAATAATCGCGCGCCCAAAGATCAATGACAGCCCAACGCCGCTGTTCACGTTCTTGATCATCAAACTCGACCACATCGGGATCCGGTGAAACAGCATCCATGTTGATGTCGTCATCAAAAGGTCGATCCGTCTCACTTGCTGGTTGTGAAGCGTTCATATCATCTTCAATGAAGCTCACAATTGTTGTGGCATTCATACGCTCAGCCTTCCACCTTGCGAGAAGCTTGATGTGTTTTTCAGTTTTAGAATGCCGGGGAATTGATTCCTCTTGCAGAGTTCGGCCTCCAGGACACGCCAAACAAGTGAAGACAATGTCTCCTGGCCCACGAACAGTCTCTGTGAAACCTGGGACAATCAAGCTGTGTCAGATTCAGCAGCGGCCCGGTTATCGATTGATGAAATTTACATTCTGAAATCAATTGACGTTCAGGTTCAGGCATCTGTTCGAAGGCGGCTCGGTTTGAAAGATGTGAAAGCGGAGGTAAAATGAAGGAAAGATAAAAACAAAATGACTGAAAAGATATCGTCCTTTGAAAAGGGAAAATGATGCATCTTCTTCCTCTGGTCTTTGAGGGTAAAACAATGCCTCCCCGTGTTTACGCTGATCAATACCTGCTTTGCACCTGCTGATCATTAAACCAGGGGGGAACGAGGTTCAATCACAACGTAATTTCGAAGTATGATAAAGCACA